TATTTATTTAATTTAGTTATACTTTGTCACCTACTTGTGCCGTTGATGTTTATATCTTCGATACTATTTTATAAAAAACTAATTTTGTAATTTCTGTAACCGTCGTTCAAAATAATTATATCTTTCGCGGAAACAAAATGCCTGTTGGAACTTGTGAAATACTTAACAAACACTATTTAACAATACCGTGATTGTAAATGGTCAACATTAAAAATATTAAACAAACATTGTTTGATATAATGGTCAAATTATATTGACAATATGAAAAAAGGTTTAATTATGTATGAAGTTTCATGTGAGCTTTTAGTTTCTCTTACCGATAAACTGTTTTTCACATCTTTCTTTGATATTTTCTTCTGTCCATCCCGGGGGACATTTTGTAACCATGAGAACACTGTGCATTCCAACATTCTTGCATTCTATATCGAACTCATTATTTGCGTACTCATTCATTTGAATAAAGGTGTCCCTTTTCAACCTTCTGAAGCGTTTGCCGTCGCGTCTAACTCTAATAGTGACGTTACCAAAATCGTTAAAATCCCACAGATTGTCTTCTTTATCCGTGATTGAAGGAGGTGCAGTGGTAGTAGTAACACAGATTACGTCGGGTATTAGTTCAATTAGAGCATCGAGACCGTCATTACCTTCTAAACCAAAATCACTGTACAGGTCATAGTCTGAAAAAAAATCATGGTTCTCTAAAGGGTCTATGTAATCAAGAATTCCTTCGGTGGTTGGTGTATCAGTTGTCGTTGGTTGAGTATATAGGCAGGTCTCCGTGTAGTCGTAACAGCAATCCCGGTAGAGGGTACAACTAGAGTCACAATTACACGAAGACACTTCAATTCCCTGGCCAACCGGATTGAACATCTGTTCACACCTGGCGTAACTATTGATACAACTCTCGGTCGGTTCTGACCATTGATCCAGGCATATCGGTACTCGGTAACCCCATCTTTCCTCTACGTTGTTCTCGTTTAATTCAAAGCATACTATATCGGATGTCCCAATCGCGGATTTGTCGGTGTTTTGTATGCGGGTAATTTGAGGCAAGTCAGGGCTGTGATGTGTCGGTGATGTCTGAAAAGTACTGGATTGCCTCACAGTGACAAAATGGCTGCGTGTTGCGTCTATAGCGAGTTGAGGGGAGATATCTGTTGTACGAAGTGTCGTAGGTATCTCAGTACGCGCTGTGGACTCAGGAACACTAACGAAGTTAGTAGTCCCAGCAACAGGCGTTGTTGAATCCATAACTTCACGAAGTCGTCGAACATTTTTTTTCTTTTTTGTTATTGTATCGTGTAAGTACGCAATATTACCATTTAAAATTGCCTTTCCAGGGTCCTGCGCTGTGGATTCATCCCAGGCGACACCGTCCTCGTCCAAAGAGACGTCCAAATCGAAGTAATCAAACTCGCCGTATGAACCTCCTTCGATATTCCCCTCAACTTTACGTAACCCGTCTGTTTCAAATACCAGTATATATTCGAATTCTTCCTTCGTGTCCATCTGCTTCTGTCCCGTGGCGTGTGCTTGATAACTCTTGTCAATATATTTCGTAATGAACTTGATATTGTTTTCTGTGCAACACGTCCTCCAACAGCTATAGGAAGCCGATAGCAGCAACGTCATCGGAATAAACAAACCAATGAGAGCTAAATAGTGTTTCAAATCCATGTTTTCCTCAGAATGAGACGACAACGAAACATCGAAGTATGTTGTATGTTCTATAAAAATGACGTTTATATTACAATAACAGCTGTTCTTTTAATTGCTAACCTTCCCCGTCATGCAAACATATTGCCCGGATCTGATATATTAAAGAGATTGAAATTGATAAATTCACAGAGGGGCGTTATTTATCATAGAACAGCAGAAATTGACAAGTATTGTATTGTAATTCTATTTCAATTTGGCCGAGATCATATTTACATTTATAGTCATATTCAGATCATTGAATTGTGTAACAATATACAAAAAAGCTGTATTTTCGGTTTAATACATGTTTAAACACGCATTTTGTTTAGCCCCGTAGCAGTTTCTAAGCTGTATTTGTTTGATTGATGGCGTATGGCTTCATTTTTCTACTTACTTGGCAATTAGTTATTTTTGATTAAATACGACAGCACGTGAAACGAATAATTTCCTTTCATTGAAAATGTGACATGAAAATCATGAGATGGCATTATATTGAAAAAATAAAAATCGTTATGCTGTCAAATAGGGAACCTTTGTAGGAGTTGTAAATGATATTTCGAGGCAACACAAAGGTTACTATCGTCACACGATGAAAGCAGCCATAAACGTTAGCCAGTTTGGGATCGACTTACTTTCAATCAATTAGGGAACAAATTTGACCCAGGTCGCTGTCACAATCTTTAATTTCATAATTCTTTGTTCAAATGCTGCAAAATGTGCTCAATGTGTACTTACTAATATTTTCAAACGAACGAACATGTTACACGTTGTATATACGAAGCATTTTTTCGTTTGACATGTTCGACACTCGCGTCCACCGCGTGAAACAGTCTGCGTTGATTTAAATTATTAGGAGTTTCAATAAAACGAGTTATTCATGTATAATTTTATAATATTGCATGATATTGATATTCTTGGATACGAGATTGTTGGCCTATTCAGCGATGTGTGATGTATTAAAGAGGCAATCAGCGAATTCAATGCGTGACGTTCAGTGAATATATTTGAGTATATAATGAAGGTATTTTGTTTGTTCCCAGAATACACAATCGTATTCGTTCCGCGAACAATAATCAAAAAACACTCATGCGTGTCGACTGCTATTGTATGTGAAAAATAAGTGCACACGATTTTTTTCATTATGTCGTGGAACGAGCGAATTATAAACCTCAATTTATTGTGTTCAGCAACATACAGTGTCAAGCAATATTACAAATTACATTGCACCCGTATTCACACATTCCAATGAGGTTATCTGAGTATTTAGAGTATATAAATAAATGTTGTTTTGATGTTACATTATTACACAGTTAGGCATGGTTTATCGTGAAATAAAAACCACTTCTAAATATGCATGTCAACTATGATAATTTATTATTATTATAAATGTATATTAGACTCAACCTTGGGACAGCGATATTTAGAATTATCTACCTTGTTCATGTCTGTCGTCCACTGTAATGTCTTCTGTGTTAGGGCTGCTTCATATTTTGTTTTTCGAATTTCCAGGTTTCATTTCCGCGATTTTAAGTATGATTGATGATAAACAGTCGGGATTGGGGTCAAATTCTGAGGTTTTCATTGTTGTTTGTTGTATCTGTCAGGAATATTTAAAGCGCGGTAGTCGTCGCGCTGCGCATGTTCGACATTTGTGTTGATAAACATCGATTTTCCCACAATCCAATGCGCTCTTCAAATGGAAATCACAAGTATGAGGTTTGACCTGGGCGCGACTTGTACTGATTACCGCCGGTGACTCCTTCGATACCTTACAATCACATGAAAATTGCGTAATTAAACCTTGGAAACGTGTCAGTTCGTACTCGTTGATCTGCGCAACAGTCAAATTCGCCATCTTTGTTTATATGAGACCCATATATCTCGCACTTGCGCAGCGTGACGACTACCGCGTTTTAAGCAGTATTGTCGTTTCTTATTACAAATAAAGGAAACAACTTTGTTACGATTAATTAAAATAAAACACGATATTTTACTTCACACTTCAGCTCTAAAGCGAGATTGCATGCATTTACGACGACTCTTAACTGTACCGTGACGAGACGTAATGCATTTTACACCGGTTCCATACAACATAAAACATGGTTGTTAGCCAATCCCACTCCAAATTCTGACAGTACTGAGCGTTTAAACATGAATTATTAATTTAATTCTCAAAATGTATAGTAAATTCTAGTATGTTGTTTGTACAAGTGTTATTCATTGAACTGTTTGTTTCGAGAACTTCATAATTTGTATGTTGAGTGTATTTTATTGAAACAACGAATGACCTTATTCGATCCCTGTTACTCGTACCATATCGTTCCTCCTCCCCACAACACAGTGTGCACTCACCGACTCCCAATGTTTGTATCCACTAAAAAGCTCCGTGGTGCTAGTAAAACCTTCACATGTGACATTACGAGGAAATTCGCGGGATTACTTGTTTTAGGTTTTACCAACAACACCCTGGTGTAATTTCGCCACAATGTTTACTTAAAGCGGGGGAGTCGTCACCTGCGCATGCGTCAGATGGCCATAGCGTTTACATTGTTTACCCATGAGCCCTCGCGTTTTAGCGTGTGTTGTTATCACTTGGGACTCAATTTCCGCGCATGCGCAGGTGCCGAGCCTCCCGCTATGAATAAATACATCGTAAACAAAGACTGAAAGTACATACAAACAACATGATATGTCACGTGATGCGTGGTATTGACGTATAGTGACGCGTCCAGTCACAACAAATCCTGAATGTATGCACTTTGAGGTTACGGGCAAAGAGACTTTAGATCATTGCGATATCTGCGATGTTCCATCTGTTATAGAAGACTTGTGATAACATTAGGAAAATAATATTTAATGTTAAAAAATAGTATGAACATAAGACAAGTTGTAATTAACATTCACCGGTAAGCAAGAACCGGCATCAAAGGGGAGTTCAGGCAGAGTGTCCAGTTTACCTCTCAGTAACGTATCTGTAGGGGCCCCATATAATGCTTTTTGTAATGACGATCTGTCGTATCTAACAAATCACAATGACGAAACCACCGACGGTATTTTCCGTATCGGCAAAGAAGCTGAGAGTACTGCCAGATATACATTGTGTAGAATGTATGCCAAAACTACTGGATCCTCGGGGCGTGTTTTGAAGAGAAAAAAACCCATTGTACACACTTTTCCGCATAACATCTGTTGTGTCAAGCGTATTTATATTTTCAATCAACCCAGACCCGTTACTTCTATGAATTGCAGCGAATCAGAAGCCACGTACCATCCAAAACGGATGACGTAATCCATACTGCAGACTACAGGAGGTCATAATTCCTCAAGTGTTCCCGCTGTATGATGTTCCGACAATCGTTAAAGACGCGTTCAATGTTCTTAGTATCCACTGCACATGTGTAGTGTGGGTAGCAAAATTTCATGTTCTTTAGCTTGACGTCTTCTTCGGTAATTCTCTATGGCGGCAAAACAAAACAGTCTGTATTATTAACGATACACATTCGGTCAAGAATAAAATATGGCCGTCTTAACGTTAATATGTTTACTTTGGACGAGAAAGAGTCATTATCCCATGTCTCAAAGTGTGAACTTGAGTTAAAAGGCGATTGGTATGATTCTCACATCGAACACGACGTGGCGCGGCGCGACGACCACCGCCCTTTAAGATAGCTACTCGCAATCACTGGTAAATGACAAAGCATTAGTTCTCGTGAAAGATTTGGCGACAATATTTTATATACTGTGAGTCTGTCTAAAATATACGTTTTTTCACACACTACATACCGTGAATCTGTCTAATATATATGTTTTAGCTTTCAAAATCTCCTCTTTTTCACCGTCTGATGAACTTCCTGAAATCAAAGATATCGAGTGAAATTTCAGAATCGCGTGATATTTTTGTTTGTTCTATTTCATAGCGAGTACGTATATTGCAAATATTCTTGCCTGGCAAATGACCACGGGCACTCGACGAGCCGCTGAAATTAGTAGCATAGCCTCGGTCCGAAGTGCGCATGCTCACAAAACGCAGTCAATTCGGTAGATGACAATTACACATACATGTATCGCTTATTAAACAAAACTTACGTCTCTCTGAGTTGGACAGTGTTCCTGATTGTCGGTTGGGCAGACAGAAACACGACGTTGGCCTATCAAATACGTCTGTCGTTAACATTGCTGTGAAAACAAATTCAAATGACAGGTAAATAGACTGACAATTTAAACTTTTGAATACCATATCTTCCCGTCAAAATATTGGCTAACATTTTGTACAGTTCTATGTAATTTTAAACAATTCTAGAATTTTGAATCGATAATAGACATAAATTGCTATTGCCTACAGGTCCTAATCAAATGTTTTGAAACAAAACTGGAAAAATAATTGTGATAGACGATAACTTTTGTTTGTTTGTAATTTTTAAACTTATTTTTAATTCAATCGAGTTTGATTTTAAGATAAAATGAAAATTGTAGTTTACAAAAACTATGATGAAAACTAATAAAATTAACAACAGCCACTCACCACTCTCTTTTCTGATTGAGTAATCAGTGTAATCCGCGAAGTAATGTCGGATTGTGGTTCTTCCAGTTATTACCTTTTCAGCCAAAATGTCACATTTGTTCAAAAATAGAATCGCCGATACCCTCTTGAGGTACCTATACGAAAGTTGACAAATGTTAGACTGTTCTCAACGACCATACTACTTTAAGGAAGGCGTACATGCTGCTATGCCCGTCACTTAACAGAAATACACATATGTCAGTTTAACATTCATCTTGGCAGGGTGATGTATTTTATTTGAGGAAAGGGCGGGTTCCTGGTTTACAGAAAACGTTGTTTTTTCTGCTCCCTCTATATTAATCTAACTATATGTGGCATGCATTTGCTATATATATTACACAATCAACCTCAATCTGAATAGCTTTGGCTTTTGTGGCAGTTTTTCTAAAACGTATTTATCATATGCGACACATTGTTGGATAACCAAATTATGAATTGGAAAATTAGTTATATTTATAGAGCATAACCTATATCATCAGTTGACCGTTTACGTATATGATAACGTACATTTCACACAACTGTTCGTAGCTTTTTGTAGCCCTGTTTGTACTCTCAATGTAGGGTGCAACTTGTACTCCCAAATTCGAGCTAACTGGCTGGGTCACTATTTGCACCTCCTTATTGAGTACGGGCGACTACGATGGAATAAGTCAGTAGCATATTGCATACATGACGTCACGCGTACTAAGATTAAATAAGCCAGTAGCACAGTACATCGCATACATGATGTCACACTTACTAGGATGGAATAAGTCAGTAGTACATCGCATACATGACGTCACGCCTACTACGATGAAATAAGTCAGTAGTACATCGCATACATGACGTCACGCCTACTACGATGAAATAAGTCAGTAGTACATCGCATACATGACGTCACGCTTGCTACGATGAAACAAGTCAGTAGTACATCGCATACACGACGTCACGCGTTTTTGAAAAATGGGGGAACGCCATATCTTGATCACGAAACCCTCCATCATAGTGGCGGTTATTATACGCTTACAAAGTCTATTTGAATTAATTTTGTGAAACAAAGTATCAAAGGTTTACCAACATGACCAACCAACCAGAGACTGAAGCCGAGAGAATGTATTTGCATAAATTGCATTAAACGAATAGTTTGCCATAAAAGTCGTATATTTAAAAAAAATCTATTCAAAATACCTATTATTCCAAACACGTCTGAACAAATCGAGTGCTTCCATTAATCGATTGCGAGTAGGGTCTTCACGAAGCACAAGGTCATATCCACTGCAAGCCGCAACAAATATAATTGCTGTCGTGTCTGAACAAAACATAGTAAAATAACGTAATCTAGCAAGTATACAAATATCCTTGGGCGGGGCTACGTCATAGAATGTTCTACGTTGCTAAGACGCGCACCACTGTACCACGTATTTCTATGGGCTCTGCGCGCGCTGCTGTGGAACGCCAGTCGAAGAGCCGGAGAAAATTGCTAAAGTCGAGGAAATAGCAGAAACTCAACCTTGAAGTAATCCTCAGCAACCAAATTTATATACGTTGCAATTGTAGGGGGTAATCTTGTTACACTGTTCAAGGGAGTCTCAGCAACCATCCCGAGGTACAGTTTTTTGAGAGTTTTCAGCATTTCAGTGTTTTCACCGTGATGGTTGCCAGGCGGTGAAAAAACCCGGATGTTTGCCCGAGGATAAGCATGAATGCAGAATGATAGTGCAGAATGCATCTATCCAGTAAATCGCGCCCTCTAGCTGCAGAACATTTCTATGATGCGGGTGAAAAGACCTTAGAGCTGCTTTTCATTGCAGTCACAATCAATAGGTAACGTAGTTTAGAGATAGTTGAAGTAATTTAAATGGTGAAACAATACACAACCATAGTATTTGCGTTTCTTTTATAGAGAGGACGCATTTTAGAAAGATTTATTATAACTGGGAAAAAACTAACAGACTTTTTAACATTGCCCTCACCGTTGAAAAGTTGAATCCACTTCATTCGCTGATCTCTTTGTCCCCCAACGTCGAACATACTGAAAACGAAAGAATATACATATTTAGAAAACGGTTAACAAACCGTTGCTATCAGCAGCGCGTGATTTATTTGGAGAGATGGATGTGAGTAACGTACTTTGGCTGTAGACTTTGCCCATGACTAAGGTTATTGAGAACTTAATTATTGCAAATATTGTTAATTGGCATCCTGATTTATAAATATTAAGTAGAGTAATTATTTTTCCTGCTGATATATCAGTGTGTCACAACAGATTCTAATATGTATGGATGGTTAGACGCCTCGGGTGTCTCATAAACGAAGGCTTGGAGGGGGTCGCACGAGTAAAGTTGATTGCACTGTTGTTGAGGTGTTCCGGTGTAACACCCACGTTTGTGATCAGATTCGGTAACCATCATAGAGTAGGAGTATAAACAATCTGATTAAAATGTTATGTAGGTAAAGCCACCGTTTACTTTTAATACACGAACACGTGTTTATGTGCAGGCTATATCAAATTGTAATCAGATGGATCTACATATATCGATCAATGTACATATGCAGCTTTTTAATATTATTTTTCACATAGTTGTTACCAACAATCATGACAAAAAGAACTGCAGGTGTTACTGATATGCATATGAAAAAACAACAACAACATTTTACTATTCTCCATAGAGGCGGTAGACCAAGAGTTACTGAAATTAAGCCACGACCAAGACAGTATGCCACATGTTCAACTTACTGAAAATGAACACCTTTGACGGAGAATCTTGTCTGAAATATCCCTGTCGTAATAGAACGACTTCGTAAAATATCCTGAAAAATGGCAATGATTATTAATTTATGTATGCATGTCTAGTATGAAAATGACATAAACAAAAACAATCGGTGCAATGGCTGGGTCCAGCGGTAAAAACAACTGATATTCCCAAGTCTGATCAGAATACAGATGGTATACTTGCACAAAATATTTCTATATACTAGTGCTATACAAAAAACAACAACAGTTGGCAGCTGAAGAGATTGTAACAAGATCCTTTTAAAAGCAGACATTTGCCCTTAAAATTCGTGAATTTCATTGGAACTCGGAAGCAGCAAATTGGGTGTAAATTGCGTGTTTGTATCATCGTCGTGTTGGACATATGTTCCATCGACGTACACAACGAGTGTAAACTAAATTGTCTGTTTACAAGAAATTTGAATGTGCGCTTGACGACGACCACAACTCTTTATAATCACATGTTATCTTGCGACAAAGAGGAGTACATTGGTATAGACACTCTGTGTCACTCTTAAAGACAGACAAACCGGCGGATTTTTTTCCTTGATCTGGTCTTATGAAAAAAATGCACACATTCCGCAGGATGGAAGTAGTTTAGTAGTAGAAAAAGTCTCTTTATATAAGTAGAATATATAATATCGATGGGTGGTTCAGGATATGATATAACAAAGTGTTTTGACCTATATCGGCACTGATTGATTCAAACCGCGACGCGACGAGAGCAGACCGGTAGCGCTACGCACGCAGGAATGTTGCAGCGCGTGATCTATTCGTCTTCTTTCAGTTTTAAACGTGGTTTGCGCAATCGATTGATCAAACAAGATCACCAATGTGTTTAAGCAACACAGTTGTAGCGACGTATATAATGAATACATTGTTTTGAACGCATGCTGTACGTTTATGGTGCTTTAACACTTCTTGGTGCCCACGACCAGTCATGATTATGTCTATTGTTACAATTAATCGTGGATAGCATAACACCTTTAGACTATTCGATCTAGAACGTAAATCAGAAAAAAAAACTATGACAGAATCGAATCACATTTTTACAAACTTTATGCAATCTGATGGGAGGATACGAGACGCATATATTAACTATATAATCTGTAACTCACTTGATCTGACGGCACAAAATCTTCTTTACCAATTTTGTCAGCCCTATCGAGGAAACTGACACACAGAGAAATAAATAACTAAAGTTAAGACAACCTCCAATGCTGCAATGCGAAAGTCTCTTAATTTGAGTGTGGTTTACCATAGCGACATCAGTAACAGTCACAACCACTAATAGTCGCATCATACTGGTAAATTACAATGATACAAATATGCTCAAAATGATCTATTGATTAGGTTACCACTTCTCCGAATATTTGATGATTGGGAGCAACCATATAGTTTACCGGATACTACGTATGGGTGTGTATTGTGTAACAAATTTGCTGACAATACCAGCCTACACCCTGACTGTCCACCGGGTTCAGAGGCCAAATACAGAAACTGTAAGCAATATATTGAATGCATGTATGTTTGGTTCAAAATAAGCATCAACAAAATATAGAAAACATGCTACAAAAATAGTATTGATTTCGTTGTAAATTACTTACTATTTAGCCGAGTCTATTAGTTGGTATTCGTTTGATCGTTCATAACACTGTCGGACACCATCGTCGTCCCAAAGACACTGTACGTGTTCAAAAAATATCTGTTGACAAAAGAATTGTCAATCTATTGTATTACTTTGGCTGATTCAGGCAAACCCATGTGTTACTACTCGGTCGCCCCAATGTGAGTGTCATGTTCAGGTCGAGTTTAAGTCGGACGATTATTAATGATCTTGGTGCAGGCTACTAAGGCGTAGATATATAGAGCGAGCACAAATATGCACGCGACAGTCGATAACATTATTAGCTTTTAACAGATGAATACAGTTAGTAGAAACGCTAATATTCATGATATATTATAAAATGAAAGAAGAATTAGTTGTTACTGATAATTAGAATTATAAGGTTCATACACAGTTTCTATTAAATACGCCCACTGGCGACACACTACTTCTGTGGCGATATCGTTTTGATCTGCTCCTTTATAAAAAAAAAGTTGCTGTTTTTTTGCTATATCCAAAATGACTAAATAACCAAAACGAATTGTCTATTTAAACGTCACAGAAGAGGGCGCACCAAAGGATAATGGTGTTTGTCAACAAAAGTGAATTAATTACTGCTACGCCGTGGTCGATCATTCCACGTTTTGAAAGCTAATCGAAATTATACAAGCACATATACGAACATATGAGAGATTCAAACCCGCAACTCGGCGAATGCGCCTGGCCAATGTGAGCAGGCCCGCTCCCCCCCCCCCCCCGTCATGCCATAGTAAATAATAAATACAGCCCAGTATAATCATGGTCAAAGCGACCTACTCGATTACGATTACGATGGAAGTAATCGAAATTACAGGCACATATTCGACCATATAAACATGATATACGAGATTCGAACTCACAACTCAGCAAACGCCTTGCAATAGGGGATTTTCCGTACAATTGCGAGATCTCGCGAGATGTATGAAAAACGCGCGTCGAACGTCTGCCGCAAAAATCGAACGATTTGATTTTGAACTAGAATTTCTTTATTTCGTAACTCACATCGACCGGCCGATCTTCGACAGAGGAATATTGCTTTCGAATACCCTTACTTAATCAAAATTGCCTATCATCAAATGTGGACAGCACATTATTAAGCATGGAAATGTCCCCCAAAATACTTCGCGTTTGTCGAAACCCACGCGATGTTTGACGCCACTACGACGCTATGACCTTTGTTTGTCCTGTTTTTACGTTCGATTTCACGCATAACGCGTGATTCTCGCAGTGTACGGAAAATGGTCTATTGTAATTAGAGTTTGAGTTGGGAATAAAATAGTGTGACTGTGTATTTGATTTTTACATACCTGGGGGAAATCGTAGTTCCGTTCGTTTATTCTCATCTCATCTTGGATGTACTTTACTTTGCACTGGTTGTCAGAATTGGACAGCTCGATAGAGGGCGTCAACGTGCTCATGGCCATCGTAATAGTCTGCAATATAAGTATTGGGCGCATGTTAATGTACTACACGTATTTTAATATTACACGCATTAAGGCAGCGAGAAGACAAACTATTCAAAAATATTGTTTTCAAAGACATTAAAACGTTTCTTCAACTATAGTCAATTAAAAAATCTTAATTTTATGGGTGTTTGAAACATTCAACTAGCAGTGCTATGTTTTTAATGCCTGCCTTTGCATATGCTTAGTTGAAGTGTATATGTATAGTCAATTGTCTATTGTCTCTTACCAGATGCACTTGAAGTATAGCTTATATGTAGCACAGTTAGCACAGCCAATAACGTGATAATATAGTAACATATAAGTAATTATTGAACGAATAAAATGGATAAATTAATTTAAAAGCCGTACCATAATAGCATCATGTAAATTTCGCCTAATAACGTCGACTATGGCTTGACGCTCCCTGAAATACAAAGAATGTAATTAGATCAGTATATTATCTAATAATGTCTATTTTGGTCATTTCAATGTTGTATTGTTATCGTAATAGATAACACGGTAATGGGCACGTAATCGTCCTTGTAGATTACTATTGGCTAAGAAGGTTGACTAGATGCTATATATGACGATGAGACAAATGTTATACATGGAATCAATGCTGAATTTACACACACACACACACACACACACACACACACACACACACAGCCGTAGAAGTGTATACAAAAGATGTACAGAGAAATTTACAAGTCTGAACAAACAACGCACATGGCAATTAAAACAAATCACAAGAACAAAACAACTGTATACAAGTACACTACACAACACAGTCAAATCAACTTAGATATGTTTATATATATATATGAACTCCATGGTATACAACGAGTGATGTCAGGTGTTACGAAAAGGTTAAGTGATATTATATGTGGTTCTATTTTTGGATTATGACATCGGATCCATAACATGGAATGCGCAGTTTGTAAACAGTGTTTGTTCCTGCGTATCGGCCGACGACCAAACCTATAGATACCAACTTCAAGTGTCTACGGTAGTACCCGGTAGTACTTGGATAAGTCCCCCCTATAATGTCGGTATTCCTCTTATGTGTCCGAAGTTAGGTATTTTTAGGACAATCACGTTTCCATCTTCATGAAAAAAGGTACAATATATGGAATACAATTAAAACAGTGTGTTTAACATCTGTGACCTTTGTGTGCTAATATTTGGCATCTGTCCACGTACCACCTGGGTGTTGAACCCGAGAATACATGAACAGCCTGGTTTCAAAACGAGGACTTGCTAGATACTTAGATACCCTATGTTCTAAAATGTAATGTGTGTTTGATACATTGTAAACTATACATGTATCTACATCAGACAAGTGACATTGATGCCATCTGAGATCATATTGTAACAGTGTTATTGTATTCAACTACAAGTTCGTTTAATAGTTTTGACGAATGAAAACAATGTATTAAACAAAAATACGCATATGTACTACAAGCTCTGGCATAGCGAATTAATTGAACAAATATATAGCACATAGGTAGGAGAGTTTAACATAACATTTATGACAGTATGAAGCAGAAAAGTATATTCAGCAATCTCCTTAATATCAAGTTCAACTGGACATATCATTGAAATATAATCACTGAATTTAGGATTGTTGATTGAAAGTACACCATTAATATAATATTGTAATACGAAACTAAAATATTTGTTTTGTTTTTTTTGTACATTTTCAATTAACCAATTAGGTTAATAACTTAAATTTAAGAAGACGTATAAAATAAAAAATTTAATAAAAATTTAAATATAACAGAAATTTTTGACACAACAAGGCAGATCATTTAAATTAATCTTATTTTTTTGTTATAGCCTGGGCTCATTCTGTTCAGTCTAGAAGCCGGTCTCTTATACATAAACATTGTCATTGCCGTTTGTATTTTTGCATGTCATTACAAAGTGGGTTTAGTCTTAGATTTCTTCAATGATCCCGATATCAATCAGGTATTTTTTTTAGTCTGAATATTGTTTTGAAAAAAAAATCAAAAGACGCTTCAATTTGTTTGTCTATTATTGTTTTTATTATTGAGTTTCTGTAATTATTTTGTCTGTGTTCCTGATTGGTGGATATTAGCATGTGCGTTTCGATCCACTGTTAATTTTCTTGCTTAAAACTGTAGATTCTTTAAATTATTAGTATTCATTATATGATTGTAATATTTGATCATTTGTCTCTTGATGAATATATCAAATAAGTATCTGCCGAGTTCTTCCTAACTGTCCACTTGGCGAGTATTTGTGAGACGCAGTATAGATCTATGCATATAACTACTGAATTTAGCAACTAAAAGTTTAGGTTGCTACTGTTTATAACAGTGAATTAATAGAATGCATTTGGCTAATTTGTTTTAATATTTTTTTCTGATTATATTCTAATCATAAAACTCATTTTGAGTGGTTGCACCATGGCATTCACAGAACAGGGTGTAACACTACATTGGTGTTGATAAAGCTTCGTAGTCAGTCCCCTAAGGCGTGAATTGCGTATGGGGGGGGGGGGGAACTAAGGTTATAACTCTGTCCAGTCGTGTTACCTATACATGTACTCATTACACTCGTGTACTAGTTTGCACTTGTTCCTAGTCAAATTACAAGACTTGATAAATTAATGCGACATCACACAATTACTTATTGGAGATCCCCTATACATCAACACTTTTCATGCCGACCATGTATTATTTGAGATTTTAGATGTATTACACAATTCTATATCATCTTGTATCTTGTATATTTCCAGACTGACTTACATGGTCAGGAGTACCGATACAATCTATATAAAGAAAAAATATGTTACTTACATAGATAACATTTGAATAGTAAGAAAACTGTTACTAACTGGTAAAACCGTGCATGTATTCTGCTATAGCAGTGTTCCCAGACCCCTTTGAGCATGAAAGTTTTACCGTTCAAGAAAAAAAAAATGATACTTTTGCTAACGGAGGACAGTGTTCCAAATTTATCCAACTACTATGTAAATTTTGGTGCTATTGTTATGTCACAATGTTGCCAACAATTTCCGGCAACAACACTGTATATCCTCAACAATCCTCCTGAAGTCAAGAGTCAACACTTTATTTTTAACATTCTTTTTAAAAAAAAAAAAACTTTAGAACGCAATCATTGCTCACGGTCACAAAAAATAACTCTGACCAAGCATGACTGTATAATTTTGACAATTATTTGAATTTATTGTTTGCACACCGGGTTTAATCAAACCACACAAATCTAACCGAGTCCAGTAAGAATTTTAGTTAAAAACTCGCTGTAAACGGTGACGTGACGAAACGAGTGATTTATCCTGTCACAAACGGATTATATGCGGCTTTAGAAAACGAAAGCCCGCACATTGAACAGAAATGAATAAATACAAACTCAGCACTTACCATAGAACTAGCTGTCCGCGCGCTACATCGATGTAAAGTGGTACCTACTGAGTCCAAGTTATACCCAGAAGAACAACGACTATCAGCAAGGATTGGCCGACAGACCATGTGAATGAATGGATTTGAAGCGAAAATGAATTTGCATTATGAAAACGAATTTGAAAGATTGAAATGAAATTAAAAACGAAATGAATTTTAAAAGGATTATGAATTCGAGAATGCATTTTAAAACGAAAATGAATTTGAAAATTGATTTAAAAATGAAAAAAAAAGTTTGAAAATGAAAATTGATTTAAAAATGAAAACGGATTTTAAAACTGAGCCACTTCGGTCGCTACTTATGTGCGTTATGAACACTTTTTTTTTGTTCACGACACAACGGCGCATGAAGGAATTAGAATCCCGTCACTGAATGTAAATGTGCGCACACCACAGCGCGAAGCGTTTGGCGTCGCCATTTCAGACTGTTATCTCATTTAATTATTACTACAAGCAAGGAAAATATGTATATAATAAGATCACCACGATAATACCACAAAGTATGTACTCAGTCGGTACGGTAACACGTCGGTTGATACGTTCACCCTACTGCCTTCTTGCATACTTTGCGGTATTCTCGTAATATCCTCAAAATATAACCAGACGCTTTGGGCAATGGTCCTTCATCAATATAAATTATCAAAAACTACGAGTACCTACTACCACTTATATACGTTATATAATGAATATATGTCTATATACGTGTGCATTATATATTGCTATAAGGGCATCACATGTGTTACCTGAATGGCGCAACAGACTGACTTAATCAATAGCCAGACAATGTGCGAACCAGTAAACCAGCAGTGTATCGGGAACAATCCAAATTATTGTACTTACTCGTCGCTAAATCCGTCTTCGTGTAGAATCTTCATCTGCTTCATGATTGTACTCTTTCCAGATTCACCAGCACCTAATAGAATACATGAATCTTGTATACTGTCAGTAATCCATCTCTACCTTCCACACAAATGGTGGGAGGGGGGGGGGGGGTCACCGAGCATTTTTTCGAGTCCGAAACATCGTGGAAAATGATCATAATTTGCATGTTTGCACTAGTTTCTATGTTGAAATTTATTTAAACAATCTCTTCAAATTGTGCTGGGTGACTTGGTATGATAAATTCATACGAATCCTGATGTTAAATAAATATTAATTTTATATTAATCATAATTTTATATTAATTATGAATCGATTGTACACAATACATTTCATATATATGTGTATTATTATGATCGGTAGTGAACTCTCATAATTATAAAATTATTTCATCGATCGGAAACATTGTCTTCTGTGGTAATAACGTTGTAATCAAATGTGTACTATAGAACACAAATAATAAAAAATAAAACCAATCGATACGCAATCGCTTCGCCAGAAAGTAGTGTGTGTAACGCGATTTCCTACCTAAAAGTAACAGTTTCATACACCTTTTCTGAAAATCCCAGAATGTCTTGCCGCTAGTTTTGAGAAATCGATCGATTTCTTTACTTCTCCTTGATGCTTGCTTCTGCATCTTCTCTTCGTCTCCCCTCTGTCTCCGTGGTCTCAAGTGTCTCATTTTAACGTGGTGTACGGCATCTGTCATTGTATCTAGCGATACATGTGACCACGTGGATTCTTTATCAGTTGGAGCAACTAAAATAACAAGCAGAGGTAATAAGAATCGCAATATCAACGAATTTGTCTCATTGGACTAAACAAAAAGTGTTTGTGATCACGGTTAGTTTTCTTTCTCGATCGAGCCAACAAATATATAACTATTTTAAACGTTGGGTTTCGCGTTACTAAATGCAGTAAACTCAACTGGTATACTTCTTTGAACAAAATGTTATGAAAATCATACAATTGAATATTTTTCACTTGTTTAATTTTACGTCCTGTTAAAACTATAGCGCTTTGAATACATCCATTGTTACAAATACAATATTATTATGATTTGTCGTGAACATGACGAAACGTTTCTTACCGCCGGAAAAACGGCATGGATATTTCTTTATTACTTTGACCTTCCACTGGGCCACCTACGTGGCCATCGTTTCTAAATCTGTTAGGCATACCTAATACTTGTCCTGTTTGGTGAAAGAAACACCAATATCGCTCATGTGTGACACAACACCCTCTGTCCTTTAACTCCATTCCACTCCACTAATTCCCACTACGTTATTTAATTTTATTATATTATTTTGTTTGTAAAGGTCATGATAAACTGGCCAGCAAGCTGCAACAACATGTTGACGATACAACATGCAACACAAGTTTACCCATGACCTTAAAGCGAAGGGGTCGTCACCAGTCCACGCGCGAGAATTGAGTCCCAAGCGACGATAACAACGTACGCTTAAACGCAAAGGTCCATGGGTAGACGCTTGTTTGTAAACAACGACACGTCATGGCCGCCTACCGCATGCGCCGCAGGTGATGACTCCCCCGCTTTAACTGTTTCAACAGGCAACAAGTTATTGAAAATGGCACAGTCTCCGCTGGCAATTTAAAAAAAAAATCTCTTATGAACTAAGCACCAGACACCGAAGAGAAAAATAGTATATGAAAGGGACAATTTCGTGCAATTGAAGAAAAAAACAGTGACCTAATTCAATGTGTCAATTGAAGTAGATGGGGTTAGTATCATAATAAATTACATCAGTACAGTGGTGTTACAGTTATTGCTGGTTGTATGATAGCTGTTACAATAGGTTCACGTTTTCATTATCTAGTATGACTGACCAGTTTATTTGTGCATTTTTGTGTAATTAAGTGTTGAATGTTACCGGAATGTCTGAGATACTTGTTTATAAGTACACGTCTCCGTTTTCGGACAACATTCAAACGGGGGACTTTTTAATATAAACTAGATAAAACTACTTGTAAAATAAATTGAACTATTATTTTTTTTCAAAGTAAAGATGGTATCGGTAAAACAATACTCAAATCATCATGATAAAAATCGCGTGTGAACACATGTAGTAAAAAAGAGAATTTACTTATATTAATACAGGAATGCCCGATTTAAAATAGACGTTATTTCTTAGAGCTCGCTCGGGAACATAAGAAAGATATATGATGTGTCGTACATGTTATTAATACATATGCATCACGATTGTTTTCAATATAAAAACAAGACTTGTTTTTGAATTGTAATAACCTTTACACCCACGTTGACTCACTCGGTGGTGGATTATTCCGGCACCTGTTGTCTTAATATCATGTTACTTTTTAATCACAAAAAGGCGAGGTATACTATAAACAAGTCATTGAAAATGACACAGTTCCCGTTCAAACTGTACAAATAAATCCTCATGTACCAAACTTGGTCTTGACAATATTCAAGAAATATATTTACATGGTGAAATACCAAAACAGTGTACATTCTGAGTATGACAAATAATAAACGAATAAACAAAAGAAAATGATTTACAGTGCACTGATCAAGTATGAGTACTTTCAAAACATTTTTCAATGCAGTGTCTAATGTCTGAAACGCAGTGACAAGGTCAAAGTCAAAGTCAACTTCAGAAAGGCACCCAGAATGATATGCAGCTATTTAAATCAGCAAGCAACCTGTAAATACATACTGGAATGACTTGTTAAGATAAATTTTAAATACAATATGTCTCATATCTAGTATGTTATCAATAGTCATACTGCTAGCAGTACTGACATATTAGCAGTATTCATAATCATTGAAAATACCAAGGTTACAAGACTCCAGAGGTGATACCTGAATATTTAAGTGAACCTTAATGAGCATAACCTGCAATCACTAATTTATCTTGACCCGTTATTTCACAGTTTGAAGTTGGACGGACCAGCACTGCTTTATATATCATCACTTAGCAACAGAATCATTCTCATTACTGTACAATAAAGTTGCATAAATTCACACGGGAAAAAAAGTTGTTAGTGTTTTTTTTACAAACCTTCATTTGGTGTACAATGAAATTCAAAGTTTAAATACATAGTTCTATATTTATATTTTTTATAATAAAATAAACGTGTCATAAATGAAGATTTTTAATTGTCAGCAAATCTTCTGTAATAGATTTGTGTATATTGCAGAACTATGTGGTATTGTTGCATGATATAAGCCATCAAAATTGTCTTTCAAATCCAGATCCTGTGAAAAAAATACAATTTTTTTTTACAAACAATATACAGTTCACATAAATCCACCAAAACCTTGCAACAATAATTCAGTTCTCTCAAATGCACATTTAAACAAATGGATTCAAACAAGTGACCTTGGACGTAGATGGCGCTGTGACAAGGTGGCCTACTGTATATTGAAAGATGGCAGTTTGATCGCAAATTATAAAGATCGTCACGGTATTAACGTAGCTAGTTCACGTCATTTAAAAATTGCAGCTAGATAAACACCGAGTTACACAAAATTATTATTTTTGTAAACAATAACTGGTAAAAAAGATACAAACGAGAGCGCCAGTGATCAAATACAATTGCACTAAATACATAGACGGTGCGACCATCAGCTACAGGCATCAAACAAATTACCTTCGTAGATTCGCAACGATACAATTCCCGAAATTTCATATATCGTTGCTTACAAATATATCACCTTATATTTTAGTCCTGCGTACACGGACTGTATCCGGGGGGGGGGGGGGTAGACCATAACACGGACCGACGATCGCCCGACTCGGTCATTTTGGAGGTGGATAGCAAAAATTAACTGTTAGCGTCTACACAATAAAAAGACTAGGATCAATCGACATAAACTTCTATTTTACGGTTTAAATGACTATTCCATGTTGTCACGAGGCAATATTTCGTTTACAAATGACATTCTACACTACCGATGGCGGACGTACCTCCTCAGACAGGGCATTTTGAATGAAGTTATTCAGTTTTCTCTCGTAATGCCACTCAAAATTGTAATCACGTGATACTGTTGGATCAATGATTTTTTTATTGTAATAATCAAACCAGAACGATTATCTTGAATACGTCCAAAAACAGTCATTTTCCAATGCATGGTCGCTATTGTGACAATCGAATACAAAACAACCGTGACTGCATCCCGGGGACTGCATGCGCAGGGCGGTGCGAAGATGCATTGTCCATTAGGGTATCAGGACGATCCGGCCCTGGTTTGTTGCGGCCCTGGTAAAAAAAAGACGTTCCGGCCCTGGTTTGGACGTTCCAGCCCCAAAACAGTTTGGTCGATCCGGCCCGGGTATAAATTATATTCGATACGTGTTCATATCTAATGTTAATATATTGAATGCACAACGAATCTTGACTATCTTGTTTAACAACTCATTTTTCGTCTTTTGCAGGGAATTTTGATGGTTTCACACCGTGTTTGACAGATGTATGGTTATTTAATCGCCGCCTATGCACGTGAACGGCAGACATTAGAATACACATCTAATACAATCTGTTTTAGTCAGGGTTCGAATGCACATTCGTGGTTTGTCGTGTAATGAACGTCAATATATTAAATGTGTGACTATCTTATCCACAATTTTTTGCACATTTTGGGGTCTAAAAAAGCTGCCAAACGGTCAAAAATTATCTAAGGCCACACTGATTTAATTTTATGGATGACATCCTCTGGAGACCCCAAATCTGATGCGAGAGGGCGAAAAAAAAAAAAAAAAAAAAAAAAACCTGCAAAAAAAAAACCTGCAAAAAAAAATAAATAATACTGCTGCTAAAACCACTACGGACTACGGAGCTGGTATAAAAATTACGTAATTATCATAAAAACAACAAGAAATAAATAAAAACTATAACAAATTATAAGAGGCTCGATATTGAAAAAAAAACACCAACAAAAATTTGGATGCGGAAAATTATGTACATGTATCTTGATGAAAATTTGTCATCTGATCAAAATATTACTGACTGTGTGTGCAAGCAAATTATCCAAATCAGAAAATGAAAAACAAAAATAAGAAGAAACTTTTCTTCATCTCAAAAGCGGACTTCGGCCGAGGAGCTTCCTCTGCTTTCTTTGCAGTTTTGTCGGCTTCAATGCAGACAAAGCAACCGAACTGACTTGTCGCCTGACCAACTTTTAGGCCACCATACACCTCCGCTCCTCTCCCATTTCTCTCATCATTGCAGAAGAAACGCGGGACAGCTACTCTGGACAATATATCCTTAAAGTTGTCTGGGCGAAACTCGCTTGCCGCTACCAATCTCCCGTATAGCTGTGTAAACGTCACATTTCCCTGGCCGACGTCAATTGCGTACCAGTTTACAACAATCCCCTCCGTTTTTCCTCTGAACTTTTATGCTCACGTATTTTGGTGGCGTGGTCGCCATGTTGGAATTTCCGGCAACGCAATACGTATGTGCAGAAGATCATTTACGACAAAATTGGCACGTTTTGAGGAAGTCCAAAACGAGTTTTACGACAAGCCGGCGCTTTGCGACAATATGAGTCGGCAAGTTCTGGACAGAAAACCAATCTGTGGAGACTCGTCGTCGGTGATTTTTTTTTTTTTTTTTTTTTGAGAACAGACGAAAACTAATGCGCGCGCGGATGTCATCCATAAAATTAAGTCGGTGTGGCCTAATCACAAAACAAATTCATGTGCATATGTATACCTTCATGACATGTATGTGTACCAAATTTGGAGAGAATCCATCAAAGCATGTCTGAAATATGA